CTAATACTGTAGGCAGAGAGCCTTGCTGTACCAAGCAAGAGTCAAGAGAAAGAACATGGAACCCTTAAGAGTTACACATAACTGGATAAAATTAAGTAAAAACAAAAAAATCAGAATAGTCAGAAAACTAATATATTGCCATAATTACTACAATTCAATAAATTTAAAAATAAACTGAAAAAAAATTTAAAATTAGATTTTTTTGTGATGTATCACTCCAAATGGGGTTTCTTCCACCAACTGGAAGCCAGCCTGAAGGGGATATATTGTAGCATGTCTTGTAATAAACATTACAAAGGTAGAAGATAATTACATAAAAGAACCTCCCATTGCATGGATGTAGCTCTGCATGACTTGGTTTGGCACCACAGGTCTTGCAGCTCAACTACTGAATTGGTTGGTGAAGTGCCTTGTACAACTGTGCACAATAAATCTAGAGCCAGTTTGCTTAGGTGTGAATCCCTGCTGTGATGTTGGGCATGGTACTTATCACCTGGTCTGAGTTTCCATTTCCTCATTAATAAGACAGCAGTGTGTAGGGGCTGGAGAGATAGCTTAGCAGTTAAGTGCACTGACTGCTCTTGCAGAGGACCCGGGTTTGATTCCCAGCACCGACATGTTGGTTAACGACCATCTGTAGCTCCAGTTCCAGGGGATTTGATGCCTTCTTCTGACCTCCGCAGGCACTGCACAACATGGGTACACTTACACACATGCAGGCAATACGCTCAAAACATAAAATTAAAAAAAATATATATTAAAAAAGACAGCAGTGTGTGAATAAAACAATAATGACTATAAAGTCCTTAGCAGAGTACCTAGCACAAAGTCAGTGAGTGGCAGAAAAGAGCAGCCAGTTCTCTTAACTGCTGAGTCATCTCTCCAGTTCCACTGTTAAGCTAAGTTTTAAGGTACAAAACTAGGTATAAGGCTTCCAGAATGATGCTGGCTTCCTTACCACTGGAGTCTGTTTCTGAATCAGAGTCACTGTCACTGTCTTCAGAATACTTCTTGTGTTTTCTTTTAGATGACTTCTTCTTTCTTTTTTTCTTAGTTCTTTCTTTTGAATGACTGGATTTCCTTTTTTTCTTTTCATCTGTACAAATTAAAAAATTAACTTCTAACAAAGTATTTCTGAACATCTTACTACATTTGAAATACTGAAAAAAACAGTTAATTGGTATTTTTTTAAGTGGGCAGAATTTAAATGCTGTAGGTATCAAAGTATAAATATGGGAGAAGTGAGAATAGGGAAACAAACTGGGTCATAATTATGACACCATATGTTCATACATATGTCAGCAGATAGTTCATTTTTCAGAGCAGTTGCTGTGTTCTCTCCTTCAAGGTCCAGAGCATCCTTTCACCATATCCAAGGCCATTGCCCTTTTTGTGCAACCCTAATTCTTAGACATTCCCCTTCACTTCTTCCCTTATATTAAACTGGAACGGTTTTGGTGTCTGCTTCCAGCCTCCCTCCCCGCCTGCTGTGCCATGGACACCACTTCCCACAGGCACACTCCATCGTGTTCCCGACCCTCCCTCTCTGCCAAGCTGTGGTTCTGCCAGGCCCCTCCAAGGTCCACGCTCTCTGAAGTGCCTAGTGTAGGACACTCCATCTTTCCTGTAGTTAATTGGTATTTTAAATAAAAGCAAAGTTTGGGGCTGGAGAGATGGCTCAGTGGTTCAGAGCACTGTCTGCTCTTGCAGACGACTGGGGTTCAAATCCCAGCACCCATATGGTGGCTAACAACCGAACGTAACTCCAGTTCCATGTCTGACACTGTGTTCTGACCTCCTCAGGCATTGCACGACATGGGTGCACTTACACACGTGCAGGCAATACCCTCATACACATAAAATTAAAATAATAATTAAAAACTAAATAAATAAAAGCAAAGTTTAGGGGCTGGAGACGGCTCTGCGGTAAAGAGCACCAGCTTCTGTTGCAGAAGACCCCAATTTGGTTTTCAGCACCCACATGGCAGTTAATAGCCATCTGTAACTCCAGTTGCAGGAGATCCAATGCCCTCTTCTGACCTCCACGGGCACTGCACAACACGGATGCACTTACATACATGTACATAAAACACTCATACACATAAAAATTAAGAAAGTTAATTTTAAAAAAGCAAAGTTTAATGTTTAGCTGGATGTGGTGGTATATACCTTTAATTCTAGCACTCTGGAGGCAGAGACAAGTGGATCTCTGTGAGTTCCAGATCAGTCTGGTCTAACATAGTGAGTTCCACGCCAGTCAGGGCTACACAGTAAGACTGTGTCTCAAAACAACAACAACAAAAGTTTAATGTTTAACTATTTATAAGTCTATTTTTTAATTCCTCAATTAAAAATTCTACATTAAAAAAATTACCTTCTGAACTAGATGCTGAAGTGGTGCTTTTCTTTGGCTCATCATCCTCTACTGGTGTGTGTTCATCAGAGCTGAGTTACAGAAAATTGTAAGAATTACAAAGGTAATGAAATTAAAACATGCATTCAAAACTTTTCAGGGCCAGGCATGATGATGCGCACTTTTAATCACAGCACTCAGGCAGGCAGATTTCAGTGAATTTGGGGCCAGTCTGCTCTACACAGTGAGTTCTAGGCCTTCCAAGGATACACAGCGAGACCCTGTCTCAAAAAACCAAAATTTCAGTAACATGGGCCACATGTGGTGGCACACACCTTTGGTCCCAGCACTGGGGAGGCAGTGACAGGCAGATATTTGTTCTACATAGAGTTCTACTCCTTCCAGGGCTATACCATGAGACTCTAACAAAAATTAAAAACAAAATCCACATTTTTTTTCAAGAACAGTACTAATTGTCCAAGAGCCATTAAAAGCAAGTATAGGATCATTATTTTTGTTAAGAGTATATTTCAGGAGTTTACCATCTTCATAATAATAAAATAACTTATAATGCTTCAGAGTTTACAAAGTACCATTAAAAAAAGCAACATGTTAGAGTTATATTTTCAGAAGACACATATAAGGTAAAAGTTGAGAAATAGGAACCACAAGGAAAGATCAAGGAAGTACAAACATGAAGGCAGATGGAGGACTTTAATTTTATTATTTTTTTTAGCATTAGGGTCCATGCTAGGGAAATACTTTCCCAGGAGCTACATCCTTAGCTCTATGATTGTATTCTAACCATGTGAAGGCCAGATAATAGAACATCTCTTTTGTCTCCTCAGAGTAAGAACCTAACAAACTATGGTCTTGGCAAAATAAATTCTGAAAGTTAGTTTTTCAGTTTTTTTTTCCTGTTTTGTTCTGTTTGAGACAGGATCTCACTGTGCAGCCCTGGCTGGCCTAGAAGTCAATATGTAGACCAGGCTAGCCTCATACTCAGATCCACCTGCCTTGTACTCCCAAGTGCTGGGTTTATAGGGGTGTACCACGACTGGCTAAAAGCTTTTTGTTTGGGAGTTTAATTTTTTTTAAACATTTACTTATTTGTGTTGGGGGCTGGGAGGTTAGGCATGCACATGTGCCACATGTGTGGAGGTCAGAGAACAACTTGCAGGATTTGGTTCTCTCCTTCCATCATGTGGGTCCCAGGGATTGAACTCAGGTCCTCAGGCTTGATGACAAGCACCTTTACCTGCTGAGCCATCTCACTGGTCCTGAAAGTTAGTTTTGCTTTAGACACAAGGTCTCTAGTCCATGCTGGCTTTGAATTCTCTATATAACTAAGGATAACCTTGCATGTCTCACCCTCCTGCCTCTACCTCTTCAGTTCTGGGATTATAAAGAATGTGATATCATGTCTGGTTTATGCAGTGCTGGGATTAAATCCAGGGCCTTATGCATGCTAAGTAAGCACTGTACCAGCTGAGCTATATCCCAAACCAAAAGTATTATTAAAATTAAAATTCTTGGTGCTAGAGTGATGGTTTAGCAGTTAAAGAGTGAGTACTGTTCTTGTAGGGCACCTAAATTCCATTCCCAACACCCATACTGGGCAGCTCACAACCACCTGTAACTCCAGGGGGATCTGATGCCTCTGTCGTCCACAGGCACCAGTACTAACGTGTACATACCCATACCCATATGCATAATTAAAAATAATAGCCAGGTATAGAAGTGCACGCCTTTAATCTGAACAAGGGAAAAAACTTTTTTTTTGTCTTTTTGAAGCAGGGTCTCCCTGTAGCCCCAGCTGTCCTTGAACTCACAGAGATCCGCCTGCCTCTTCCTCCCAAGTACTGGGACTACAGGCGTGCGCCACCACGCTTGGCTGGGAAAAATTTTTTTAAAAAGAAAAAAATTTGAGATTCTTAGGAGAGGCAGGCTTAAAAAATTAAAATGCTTTAATAGTACTAAAGGAGAGTTTTCATATTATATCATCTTTTCCTTTGAAATTTTGAATATTACACATGGAATAACTTACATATTGTCTACAAAATATTTTCAGTGTTTCTTCTAACTATAACTCTGAGTTCAAGTATCCATAAGAACAAGTTTCAGATAATAATGCTTTGTCACCCTGACATAATTAGAGGTTTCTTGTCAAGCACACTGTCTCAATGCAACTTATAAGAATACAAGAGAGGGAAGAAGAAAACTGAGCAGCAGCAAAGAAAAAGAAATATGGGGGCTGGTGAGATGGCTCAGCAGGTTAAGCAAATTTCCTGCCAAGCCTGACAACCTGAGTTTCATCACTGTAACTCATACAGTGAAAGAAGAAAGTATGCCATGTATGCCATGGTACACACATACATTCAGTGAAAAAATATGCTAAAATGAAGTTTACAAAGAAAGAAGTATGGAATAAAAAGCACTAGGCCTTAAGAGTATGAGATACAGGAAATTGTTTTAAAAGTCAGTATATTAATTTAAAAATCTCTTGGTGACCTTAATATAGACCTGAAACTCTGAAAGTATTAGAGGAAAAAGACTTAAGATGAAAGAATAAGCAAAGGCTTTCTAATAGGACTTTAGGGGCTGGAGAAATTGCTGAGTGGTTAAGAGCATCTTCCAGTAGACCTGAGTTCAAGTCTCAGCACCCACATCAAGTAGCTGCCAACCACCTGTATCTCCAGCTCCAGGGGGATCTTATACCTCTGGCCTCCATGGGCGCCTGCACTCACATGAAAATACCCACTAAAGACACACAAATATACATGAATAAAAAATAAATAAATCACCACGCTGGTTGTGGTGGTGCATGCCTTTAATCCTAGCACTTGGGAGGCAGAGGCAGGTGTGTGTTTGAGGCCACCCTGGTTTACATGGTGAGTTGCAGGTCAGCTGGGGCCACAGGGAGACCTTGTCTCAAAAATAACAAAAATAAATCTTTGAAAAAATAGGATTCTTATATTTTGATTGTGGGGAGGGGATCTAAATATGATCAAAACACATTGTATGCAATTTGCAAAACTTCAATTAAAAAGATAAAAATAAAGATAAATAAATATTGTAAAGAAAAAGTAAATGAGGCTGAAAATGACAACTGGGGACCTTATGAAATTAAAGCCTCCTGTACAATAAAGGAAAATGGCTAATTGAAGTGATAGCCTACAGATGGGAGGAAATCTTGCTAGCTATATATTTGGCTGAAGAATGATACAAATATACAAGGAACTAAAATACTCAACAACCCAATCAATAAATGGGTAATTAACAGAGAGTTCTCAAAAGATGAAATAAAAATGGCCAACAAACAAATGAAAAATGTTCAACCTCACTAGCCATCAGAGAAATGCATCTTACTTCATTCAGAATGCAGCTGTTAAAAGACAACGAAGAGCTTTACTTCCCCACAGCCTCTGGGTGGCCTGGTGCTAGCACCTTTCCTGGTCCCCAGGAGCCCTCTGGACCAGGTCCCGCCCTCATATCCCTTTGCTTCCTGGGTTGCACAGCCTCCAGTGTCCTGGTAGCAGCACCTTCCCTGGGTAAGTCCAGCATGCCCAGCGCACCTTGACTCCCCCAGCCTCATTCACCCTTGCATCTCCCCCGCCGGTCTCTCCTCCTAGTTTGGGTCCTGTCCAATTCCTTGTCTTGGGGCCACAGACACCTGGGGAACCAATACTACTTCCTGATCCTTTTCATCCAGACGAACGTAGTGCCTTCTCTGGGCCCCAGGAGCACTGCTTCTGGGCCTGGCCCCACCTTACCTCCCTCTGCTTCCCTGGGCCTGCACCACCCACCAGCCTCTTTCTGGGTGGGGGCGGGGCGGCTGACCTTTCCTCTTCCTGATCCTTTGCATCCAGACCAATCCAGCTACTCAGTGCAGTCCCCAGGAGCCCTTGGGGCCTCTTCCTGCCCCACCTACCTTTGCATCTCTGGGTGGCACAGCCACCAGCTGCCCTAGACCAGCATCTTTCCTGGGCCAGACTCCCAGGCCAGTCCAACCCCCAAATTCCTGAGGCCAAAATCATTCCTGGAGGGATCCAGACCTTAGGAGAAAGCCTGAAAACATCTGACCCTCATCTGAATTAGGCCTCTGTGGGAACTCCTGAAGACAAAAGCAATCCGGCCACTCCAATATAAAATCAAAAGAGAGAGCCAGAAGCTTAGAGGATCCAGCTTTTCATGCCCAAAAAGTAAACCACAAAGACACATAAAGTTCACAAAAAGAAGCAGACCTAAACTTGAAGGCCTGAGTCTCACACAAGAATCAGAAACTATGAAAGAAATCCACATGTCAAAATCACAGAGAAAAAAGCAATAACGTGAAAAACCAAAAAACCATATCCCCACCAAATACCAATAGTCCTTTAGAGGAGTGCAATGAGAGCCCCCTAGAGATAATGCAGGACATAGAACTCAAAAGAACAATTATAAACATCATAAACGAATTCATGAATTGAAAGAACAAACAAACAAAGAAATAAAAGAACTGAAGGAAGATAGGCATAAACTTCTGAATGAACTCAGAAAAGAGCTAGAAATATTGAACACTCAGGCTGAAATAAAGAACGAAGTGAAACACTCCATAAGCCAATTAGAAACGACAGGAGAAAGCCTCACCAATAGGATGAACGAAATGGAAAACAGAGTATCAAGAATCAAGACTGGAAGATAAAGTGGACAAACTAGACCACTCAAGCAACGATTATGAAAAATTTAAGAAATCACAGGAATGGAATAAACAAGAATTGTATGACACCATAAAAAGACCAAACTTCTGAATCATAGGCATACAGGAAGGAGAAGAATCCCAAGATAATGGCATGGACCAGATATCAACAGAATCATGGAAGAAAATTTCCCAAAATTAAAGAAAGACATGCCCATACAAATACAAGAAGCATATAGAACACCAAACAGACAGGACGAGAAAAGAAACTCTCCATGGCACATGACAGTAAAAACACTACACGTATGAAACAAAGAGACAATACTGGAAGCTGCAAAAGAGAAACAACAAGTCACATATAAAGGAAAACCCATTAGGATTACAGTTAACTTTTCAGGGCAAACTATGAAATCC